CTCCCGCCTCCTCCTGACGATCCTCCTGCTGCTGCTGCTGCTGCTCCACCTCGGTGCAGATGCCCACGATCTCCGTGATCATGGTGAGGATGGCGTCCGCGGTGCTGCTTAGTCCTGCAGGAGTAGGTGATGGAGGCGGTGGAGGATGCTGCTCCGTGAAAAAGGTACCGGAGTAGCCGAGTGACGGAGATAGAGTGTCCGAGGAGCAGTCGCTGAAGTCGGAGAAGAAGTCCGAGTCGGATGCGTCGGTGCCTGGAGAGAAGACTGGAGGGGGAGAAAGAGGGGGCGTTAGTGTCATTACATAACAATAACAACACTCGACGTGCACACATGCACACGCATGTACATACCTTGACAGAAGGGTGAGTCCACAGAGTCACAGTCCGTCACGTCACTCGGACACGGACCCTCGCTGTCCACCCAGAACTCCGACAGGAAGCTGTCCTCACTCTTCAGAAGCATGTCGGGAAATTCCTAGTCAGTTTAAATCCCAAGTCCCGGTTCTGGTTCTAGTCCTGTCCTTGTCCTCAGTGAGAGGTTCCTCCTGATGCTGAGGATGGGGAGGCTGTGCCTGCTTTTATAGGCTCCGTCTCCATGGTAACTCCAGGCTTCCCTGATTGGCCGGCGTCACAGTGAGGGATTCCCGCCGCTGAGCTCTGCGCAGCTGCCCATACATGGTCGGCTTCCGGTTCTGACGGCGGGTATCCCCATACCATAAAAGGACAGACGGGAAAGTAGACGTAGCAGAGAAGGGAGAGCAGAGAGAGGGAGTGAGGGGTATTCCTTCACTGCGGCAGAAAGAGAGAGAGACATGACAGCACACACTAACAGAGAGAGAGAGAGAGAGAGAGAGAGAGAGAAGGAATGTGATGGAGGAATAATGGAAAACCAACACATACATGATGGAGGGATAATAAAGGAGGCGTGGAAAAGTGATGGATGGAGTTATAGGAGATTGGGCTGTGGGAGTGATGGATAGTGATGTAGTGATAGAGGGGTGAAGCAGTGATGGACAGCAGGTTATGAAAGAGTGAGAGAACGTGAGAATGGAGGAGAGAGGAAGGAGTGGCATAGAGGGGGTGGGATGGGAAGGAGTGATTGATAAAAGGTGGAGGTATAATGATGGAGTGACAGCAGAGAGGTGGAAAACACAGATAAGAACAACAGGAGGAAACAACAACATGAAGAACTGTGTGGATGGACACAACAACAACAGAGAGGTGGAGTGAGGAAAAGTTGTTGTTGTTGTTGTTTGTCAGTTGATGTCAAAGCAGTCACAGACAACGTTTGACTCTACATTTAAAAGCCATCTCAGATGAGCTCTGATTGTATAACACTGACCCAGATAGACCGTGGAATTGACCATGTTGTCAGAACAGCAGCTCAGACACGTGAGAAGGAGGAGACCCGGCGACTGATCAGCTGCTCCATCAGGTTACCTAACAGCTGATTGATATTTCAGGTCATCAGCTGACGACTGTGATGAGGAAGAAGGACAGAACTAAACACAGTCGCTTTCCTACTTCTTCTTGTGTCGCACTGAGGCGGTAGACTTCAGCACCATGGACAGCTCTGCAGTGCTGCAGAGAGAGAGAGAGAGGAAGAGAGGGGTGAGAGGGAGAGATAGAGACACAGGGGGAGAGAGGGGGTGAGACAGAGGGGAGAAAGAGAAGGTGAAAGATGAAGAGAGGTTAGAGAGGGAGAGGTGGGAGGGAGGGAGAAATGATAAAAGGGGGACACAGGTGAGAGAGAAGAGGGAAGACGGTGAGAAGGGGAGTCAGGGAAAGTGATGGAGGGAGAGAGAGGAGGGGAGGTAAACAGGGAGACAAGTAGAGACAGAGGAATAGAGGGAAACAGACAAGGGGGAGAGGAGGGTGAAGGAAAGAATGGGAGAGAGAGAGAGAGAGAGAGAGAGAGAGAGAGAAGTGGTTGAGAGACATTGACACATCACAGCTCCACATTCCTGAACATTTCTACTCAGCGGCTGTAATCTAGTCGCCATAGCAACTGGGACAGGTCTGCCTGTTCTGTGGAACAGAAGTAAAACACAAAGTTAATCTGGATTACAATTTCTTTGGGATTCAGGAAAGTACTCTAATGCACAGATTGTTATTCTGTGTTTCATGAACTTCACAGGTCAGACCAACATGAACAGACGAAGACGACCACGGGACACACGCAAAAACAAGAAACAACCAAAACCAAAAACACAAAACAGCAAAAGAGACATTTAAACACATACGATATAACACAGAGAGACGAGGTCAACAGCAAAATACGACAGCAGAGGAAACTCACAAACTACATTACATTTACATTGATATAAAACCAGATAAAACTGGTCACAAAGAGAAATAAAAACATCAAAAAGTACAAATCCAGAATAATGACTGACAATGTTGTTTTTGTAAAAGTCAGTGAAGAAGAGTAAGAATAACAGAGAGAAACATACTGTTTGTTTTAAGGTCACAGTGATAAAACACATGAAGGCCGAGGAGGAGACACACACACACACACACACACAGACCTCAGACCTCTCCAAGGTTCCTCCCTCAGATAAAAACCACTGCCTCCTCTCTGCTCCTTTTTCACCTCACTCTGGTCTGCTCTCTTTGTCATGTTCACTCATCTCCTCTCCTGTCTCCTTCTCTCCTCCTCCTCCTCTCCTTTCTTCCTCATTCTCCTCTCCCTCGTCCTGCTGGTCATCTTATACCTATTCGGCCGTGGCTCCTTCTCCTCCTCCTCCTCCTCACCTCTACCAAACACTGCAGGAGGTTCCATCCCGTGCTTGCCACGGCTGCCTCTCCTCGGCAGCCTCCCGTGGCTGAGCCAGCACCTCCCACCGCACCTCCTCTTCTGCAAACTCTCTCACAGGTCAGAAACAAATGAGAACAAATAAAAATGTTAAAAACTGCTAAACTTAAACTTAAAGCCATAAACAGCCAAATCCTCTGGAGGAAGGTTCTTTACAGGTAGTTTGACAACTCTATCATAACTGTGTGTTTCAGATACGGTTCTCTGTTTGGGTTCTACCTGGGTCCTTACTACACCCTGGTGGTCAACAACCATCATCACGCCCGAGAAGTTCTACTGCAGAGAGGAAGAGACTTTGCTGGACGACCCAGGATGGTGAGAGTTAGACCAGAACCTAGAAGTCCTGTCAGACCACAGGGGGACCTCAGAGATTCTCAACTGTTCTTTTTATTTCTTTGTGCGTTTCCATCTGTGGCCACCAGGTGACGACTGATCTTCTGACCAGAGGAGGTAAAGACATCGCCTTCTCGGATTATTCTTCTCTGTGGAAACTTCACCGACGTCTGGTCCATAACTCCTTCACTCTGTTCGGAGAAGGGAGCAGTCGACTGCAGGACATTGGTCTGATCACAACCACATTTTCATGCTTATATTTCATTACTTTAGATGCATACTGAACCACATTTAGCTAGTTTGGCTAACCTTTAGCTACCAAGGGCTCAGTAATGAAACTGCTGTTTGACTTGCTGTCATCTTTCTGTGACTCTCAGTTCTGTCCTCTGTGGACGGTTTGTGTGCTGAGCTATTGTCCAGCACAGGGAGTGCTTTTGACCCCGCTCCCGCGATCACCAGGGCTATTACTAATGTGGTGTGCAAGCTGGTGTTTAGCGCCACCTACGAGCCTGGTGACGCCGAGCTGCAGGAGGTGATCCACTACAATGACGGCATTGTGCAGACCATCGCCAGAGGAGGTCTGGTGGACATCTACCCCTGGATGAAGGTAGACCACAGTCCTGACCTGAATCCTAGGACTGAGGAGAAAGAAAGATTACATCACTACCTTCAAGTCTTACTTGAAATGTCTTGAATGTAGACGTTAGCTTTGAGTGTCCTTCTCTGTCCTTCACGTCCAGGTCTTTCCAAACAAGTCACTGACCAAACTGAAGGACTGCATCTACATCAGAGACAGACTGCTGACTCGCAAACTTGAGGAGCACAAGGTAACACAAACACAGCCAAGGTTGATGTTTGTTTGCTCCCCACACCAAAGTCCATTAAGAAAGTCAAGGGTTTAAGCTGACAGAGACGGGAGGTGCTGGCCCACTGCTGCCTCCTATGGTCAGTTTGTGTCCTTGAGGTCTATTTCAGGAAAGAATTTTAAACAGTGAAGTCACTAAAATAACACATTTGAACAGAACAGTGAAGGCAGCGGTCTAGTCCTCACTGCTGTGTGCCAAGGTGAAAAAATGACTGATTTTATAATGGACTTTCGTGTCATCCAGGCATCACTAAGTGATGGTGACCCCCGTGACCTTCTGGATGCCTTGCTGAAGGGTCAAACAGCAAGGTCAACAGGTTCACAGGATGAGCAGATATCAGATGACCACGTTCTGATGACCGCAGCCGAGGCATTTGGAGCCGGAGTGGAGACCACGTCAACCACACTGCTATGGATTCTGGCCTATCTGCTGCACCATCCGGAGGTGAAAATGTGAACTGCAGTTTACTCAGAGCTACATCACAATTAATTGGGGTCTCAGGTTATTTTGCTTTTGTGGTTATTTTTAGAATTCTTTTGTTCTCTTTCAACAGTTTCTGGCTGAGGTTAATTAACACTGTGTGTACTTCATTAATTTATTTTCACTCACCCCCACGACGCTGCAAAGGAAAAAGCTATAGCTAACAGACGGACTACAGTTTAGTTCAAAGATTTCTGTAGATGTTAAACTCCTTTCAGATGATGTAATAATGACTTGACGGTTCCATTCTGAACTTGAATCTGTGTTTCGTGGCTCATACATTACACTGCACTGGTCCCTGCTCTTTCACCAGGTGCAGTGTGCAGCAGGAACTGGACGAACAGGTGGGCAGTGAACGGGCAGTGAACATGTCCGACCGTGGGCGTCTGCCGTACCTGGACTGTGTCATCAATGAGGGCATGAGGATCCGTCCAGTCAGCCCAGTCCTGATCCCACATATGGCCATGACCAACAGCAGGTAACTAACACAGAAATACACAAAACACTAAGACCTGATGTAAATGTCCCAATGAATTTGGTACAAACTGATAAAAATGAAAATATTTAAAAAATACTTCTGATTAAATTTAAAGCTGAAAGTTTGACCAAATTCAGATGAAAATGAAGTAAAAGATTTGGTCGTGTTGAAGTTTGGCTAAGACACTGACTAATTTCCTCAAAGTTCTCTCTCTCTCGCTCCATTGCAGTATTGGAGGTCACTCTATCCCACGTGGGACCCGCGTTTTGGTGAACATGTGGTCAATTCATCATGACCCACATCACTGGGACAAACCAGACCTTTTCACCCCAGGTAAATTACAATGACATATTTTTAACCCACATTTATATTTTAAATAAACCATAATTTTTCTTCCTTTTCCTCATTTTGACAGAGCGTTTCCTGGACGCCAACGGCCAGCGAGCCACGCCCTCCTGCTTCCTGCCCTTTGGGGCGGGGCCTCGAGTCTGTGTTGGTGAATCTTTGGCCAGACTAGAGCTCTTCCTCTTCCTGTCATCACTGCTGCAGCGAATCAGCTTTAAACTGCCTGATGGGGCTTCCCCACCCAACCTCCAGGGGCGGCTGGGAGTGGTACTGCAGCCGTTACCCTATAAGGTCACCGTTAGTCCACGACTGGGCTGGGAGGGCGGGGCAAAGTAGATTAGTTGCATTTTGTTCCAGCAAAGTTTCCAGCATTAAGTTAGAAAATAATTTTTACCTCAAGTATACATTCTGCAATTATGTAGTAGTATAAAGAGCTAATTAGTAGTGCTGATAATTAACTGAAGCAATTAGGCAAATTCTTCCGAATAAATCACTCATTAAAATGAACAATTCTGCTAATGAATAATTTAACAAAATATAGTCAAATATAAACAAATATGAAGCAAAGTGAATGTTAGCTCACAACTGTTGAGGACTTTGTAGACTCACTCTAATCAGATGAAGGGTTGAGACTAATTAGCATTAGCAGCATGAAGGCTAACTCAAAGAAGTCATGTACAAATTTAATATAGACCATTTTGGTTTTTTGAAGCTATTTCAGGTTAAATTCACAGACCAGTGTATTAGTAAATAGACGTGAATCCAATTCAACACTTTTTTGAGCTTTAAAATAAATCTGATGACGATGATGTTTTGTTTGTTTTACTTTGGACAAAGAAAGACTGACATGACTTGACAGATTTTATTCAGTATACCTTCACACACTGTTAGAACAGGCTGGTTTAGTTAGGTCTCACGCGCACACACACACACACACACATACATACACACACACGCAGACGTGCTTCCACACAGAGCCAAACACATGAATAATTAGATAATACTAATAATTATCATCAATATATCATAGGATTTTTAAAAGTCAATTTCTTCTCTGTCGCCTCTCTGACTGTGACAGGAAGGACCACAGAGAAGAGACCAGACGAAAATCATTTTCAAAACGTGGCAATGTTGTCAAACACCACAGGTGGAGCTGTTTCTGAACTACCTGTTGACAAATGAGCCAAAATAAGGCAATAATACAGAGTTCTCTACAGTTTGACTGGATTCATGTCAGAAGAAAATGATCTCTTCTTCTCACCAACTGTGGCTAAAGTCTCAGCTTCATAACCAACGCCAGCATTTCCAAATGTATCCACATCTGAGTCCAAACCTGCCCTGTCCTTATGAATCCAGTCAAAGCAAACCTCTGTTCAAAGACTGTTTGTACAAAGTTGTGATGAACAACCAAAAAACCAAAGACAAAAAAATGTTCAGACCGGAACTCCAAGAGAAAGGGAAGGGAACCCCAACACCAGCCTCGAGTCTTGTCCTCTAATCATCTCCTCAAGACTTCTGTCCCTGAACATCTCACAGCACAAACTGTGTTGACGTCTGAGTCCGTGCTGGGGTTCATCTACAGGGAAGGGAACCCCAACACTGGCCACATTAGATCTTTGTGCTGTCACTCTGCACACGGACTGACTCCATTTCCCATGAAGCCTCAAACATCAACTCAGACATCAACTCAAAGAGTTCTGCTTGTTGCATTCTTCCAAAGAAACAACCTTTTGGAATTCTCATTGTTGGGGGACATGGAGTGCAGTCCTGTCCACCAGTTGCTGTGAGATTATCTAGATAAAATTCCCCTGGTTGATTTTCGTTTTTGAGGCTGATTCCGAGAACCAAAATGAGCCTTTGAGAACCGATGGCTACGGACACAGTTCCAGACGCTTTGGCAGACATCCATTCAAAAAGCTCACACCCACGCAGAGCGCTAACAGCGCCATCTAATGCTAGGTAATAACAGTTGTCAAGTAGAAATGGCACTCTTAAACCATGTAGATATATAACCTTATTAGTTTAGGTAAACAAAAAAATACACCATCAACCACAACATTGACCACAACATCTACGGCTCGGTGTCACCGTTGAGCGTTCTGGAGGTGGTTCCTCAGCCTCTGCGACCTTCTCAGTCCCAGTCCACAGGCACCATGTTGACCTGTTTCAATCTCACTTGTGACCTGGGGCTCAATGTAATCAATTTACGAAAGTCCTCTCAGTCCAGACAGGCTTAGGGCCCAATGTGTCCACCAGGGGACATAGAGGAGACTCCAATTCAACAAAAATCAGGTTGTTGTAGAACAAAGTCGGTCTCGTGGACATAACATCCAATCAGTCTGATGTTCAACCACTCATTTCTGTATCGTCCTCTCCATAGCAGGACATCGTCTCTCTTGACAAAGTCCATCTTTCGTCCGTTCGCAAATTAATTCCCGCAGTTTTTTTCAGAACAACTACGTTTGTGTTGTAATGCAGCATGGAATCAGGGATTCAATTTCATTCAGTGTCTTTAACCAGAGCAGGATTTATAATACAGGAAAGCAAAACAATGGTCAGGTGACCACATGAAGAAAAAAAATTAGATTTACTATGAATCATTTTCCTTGACTGTGTTCTTTCAAAGGGGTCAACCAGCCAAAAATAATAAAGTTCAAATACATTTTAGATTGTGTCATTTCCTGTAAGCTTCCTGGACTAACATGTGGACGTCCTGTGAGTACTGTCTAATCTTCTAGATCTATCTGGATCAAACAAGCCAAGAAGGTTGGAGCCCTGTTGGTTTACCCATCAGAGCATCCACTCCTAAACCCGTTAGTAGTGGCGCCCCCGAAATGTTTTTGTGAAAAGCCAGGAAAAATGTTTTGTTTTTTAATCGGTCACCCCCGTCTGGTCCCTGTGTCCCGCCGTCTCCCCTCTCTCCTACACCCCCTGTTAATAAATGCACACAAAACATAACTACATGTGGTTTTCTGAAAGACAGCATCGGGAGCAGATGGGTAGGGGGGGGGTTTGAACTCTGGGGGTGCCACCGTTCTACAGTCACGTTAGGCGTTGTGATGCAGCTCTAGTTTAAGGTTGTTTTGTTTTGCCTTCAGGTCAAGCTGTTAGTCTACAACGATGTCCAAAAACTGGTAAAGACTCTAGACTGGACCTGCTGATGAAAAATCCTCCTAATCACTAATTCAGACTCTAGGTTGGTAAGAAATACACCAGCATGTACAATACAAATGTTACTAACACTCTGTCATTGACAAAATATACTCTACCTTAGTGTCTTTCTGTCACAAAATATCAATATTATGGACACGCCTATGGAGCTAACATTGAACAAAACATTAATATATTAGAAGGGACTAAAAATCAACTGGCTCCAGGTCTGATCCTGGAGGAGATTCACTGCTGTTGGGTTTTTTGAAGTGACTTTCTCTCATTCATCACCAGAACAGAGGATTCTAGAATCAGCTGTGAATCAAGAGTGGAGTCCAGGCCTGAACGTCTTTTCTGTTTGTCAAGTTTTCGCTGTGCTGCATGTGACCTCCAATCAGGGAAAGAAGACAAAGACGGTGATGATGCTGTGTTGCCTCTTCTGTTTGCTGCTTTGTTTCTGACTAACAGCAGCCATTGTTTGTACTTTGCTCTGCCGACGCACAGTAAACCTCCTGGACCGCCCCCCCCCACTGATCGGAAACCTTCCACAGACGTCTGACGAAGTTTCTGTCAGATCTAAGGATTTGCATCAACACCTACTGCAACACTGCCTTCACGACAGTCTTCTACGTCAAGCCGTCCTGGCTGATGAACCAATGAATCAGCTTTATTCTGTCAGTCAATGTGATTCATCCTCCCACATCTGTCGCTCTGATACCACAAAGATGGACAGTTCATCCCTGGGATGGTTTGAAACGTTCGTCATCGGGCAACAACTCCGCTGATAAACCTTTGACTATTTCGGGCTTTTCTCTACTTGTTGACGAACGGATGACAACAAGATGTATATATACATATACATAAGTATATATATATATATATATATATATGAATGTTAACAATGTGGCCTTTTACTGCACCTGAGGACAGGTCGACTGACTGAACCCTGGTCTGAAAACAGCCAAAAATGTCAATAAATATGAAATGTGGTTTAAATGTTAGCTTTAACATTCACAAGAAGCTATAAGTTAGCTACAAGTGAGGTCAACAGTAACTAATGCCACAGCAGCAGTCAGGAGAGAAAGCCAGAGAGTCACAAATACAGGGAAAATACTGCATTTACCCAATTATAAAACAGCAAAATGGATGAATTCAGCTTAAAGAAAGAACAATGATTAAATGAATAAACTTCATGAAAAACCTGCTGTGCAGAACAAGGATTTCTCAAGGAAACCAAATTTTTCAGGGGGGCAGATCATAACACTGAATTGACGGGTTTACCAGTGGAGTTTTATCATATTCACCACCAGAGACGTCCTATTTCTTGCACTCATGGTATGTTTGAGTGTTTCAGGGAGTTTCTCTGTGATGAGGAATCTCTGGGTGCGACTTCACTTCCCCTTCTTCTCACAGCTTTTCCTCTCCAGTCTCACTCTTTCAGGATCAGAACCCGCAGCAGGCTTTTCTGCCTTTTCCACTACATTTTAGAAAATGCCGAGGGCTGTAGGTAAAAAAAAACCGTAAAGCTCAGAGGCACATGATCACCTCCCCTACTCTTGGTCCTCCTTGAATCTCATTAGGCCGAGGCCCAGAACCACAGACCAATAAAATCCCAGTGTTGAATTCATGACTCCTGTTGTTTGTTCCAACACTCGCTCCATATTCTATGTGCCGACTGAGACCTTGATCACCAAACTTGTCAAACTCCCAGGTTCCAGAACATTCTCAAACACAGTTCAATGTTCTCCGTGTCAAGTGCTTGTATGACCCGAGGTTTGACCCGCCCACTTCTGTCAATCAGACTCTTTCCATGACAATGACGACCTCACCACAGTCATCTGATGATGCAGTGGTGGATGATGGGTTGCACCGGGTCAGGTCTTCCACAGTGGTCATGTGACCTCTGGCAGGACAGTCAATGCTATCGTGGAGATCAGAGCCTCCGTTTTCTTTCTTGTTCCTTTCCCCCGTACCCCCTTCTCCTCTGCAAGCCTTATCCTTCACCTTCTTTTCCTCTTCCTCTTCGTCATCATCTTCTTCCTTCTCAACCCGACAACGACACACTTCGATTCCTGAATCGCCCGTCAGCCGTCTGTGTCTGTACTGGCTCTCGTCTGCCCCCATGTCATCGTCTTCGTCCTCTTCGTTGTCTTCTTCCTGCTCCTCCTCGTCCTCATCCTCCCAGTTAGGAGGTCCAGGTTCAAAAACATCAACGCAGGGTGAAAAGAGAGTCTGTTTTGGGGGGGACTGAGTGGTACGAGGCGAAGGTGAGAGCGAAGACGCGTGGCCAGAGGAAGAACCTCCTTTTTCAGATTGGTGCAGGGCATTGATGGGATCCAGAAGAAAACCAGGTGCAAGGGTGGTGGCGGGGAGGGCAGAAGGAAAGGAGGGGAAAGGAGGAGATGGTAAGGAGGAGGGTGAGGAAAGGGCTGAAGTTGGGGACTGGACAGGAGTAAACACAGATTCTGAATCAACTGTTATGGCAGGGGGAGGGGAAGAGGAGGCAGAAGAAGGGAAGGTGATCAGAGGAGCAGAAGCAGATGAGGAGCCTGATCCAGCCTGGCCTTTTGATTGTAATGGACCAATAATGTCTGACTTTGACAACTGAGCGAGGACGGAACAAGGACCCAATTCACCTGCTAATGTGCCTGGATCTTGACCAGTTGTAACAGCAGCAGAAACCCCTGCGCGCTGGGACAAATCTGACAGCGGGCCCAGAGGAACCTGGGTAATAACAGACTCAGGTGACAGCCCCTGGCGTTTGAGGGGAGCAAATGTTGGGGACATGGCTGCTGAGTCGGTGGGAAGGCCCCCACACGGAGTAAGAACAGGACTAAATGCAGAGTGTGGATCATTTGAAGGGGTCAGTTCTGAATTTTGGTTAAGGTTTACAGGTACTGAATCTCCAGCCTGATTTGTAGGCACTGGCACTGGAGTTACCGTATGGTTTGAAGATACTATGACAGGAGCTTTGAGAGGGTTTGAAGCTGCTGGTATTGGGACAAGGCTAGGACTGGGGTCCAGAAGTGGAGGACCAGGAGAATCTGTAATCAGAGCCAACGTTCTTTCAACTTCTGCTAAGGTTGGACTACTGGGAAGGCTGGCTGTACAAAAAGTTCTTGTTGAATGAAGGGTGTCTGGGGTAAGGTTGACTCCTGGTCTATCACAAGTACTTTCTGTTGGGGACGGAACACTGAATGTCGAAGAGGGTTGTGGAGCAGATGTCATTTCGTGGCCACCAGCTTCGCCTTCAACGCTTACATTATGGTTGCAGGGAAGTGGTGCATCATGGACGTTTGGACTAGGCATACTAGAGCTACAGGTGCTGGCTAGAGGGGTACAAGGTTTAGTATCCAGCTGTTGCTTGGCAGGAGACGTGGTTCCAAGAGGAAGGTCCCCCTCTGATCCAGGAGAGGGTGAAGGCTGCGGGGAAGCCCCCCGAGTGACAACGGCAACAGTAACAGTCTGTGTGGGAACCGATGTGTCACTGACAACGGGTTCCTGAGCTCTGGCAGAATCAGCTTCGCTGATGTCCACGGCAACAGAGTCTGCAGTTCTTTCAGACGCTGACTGGTTTTCAGTGACTTCCAAACAGGAAGCCACAGTAGTAATTCTTTCCAAGGTGAGGTCAAGGGTAAGGGGGGCAGCCTCACTGGGGGTGGATGCGTGGCTTGTGTCAGTCTCGTAGGTGACAGGCGCTGATAGGGAAGAGCTACATGGAGAGGAGGGACAGCAGGAGTCGCAGGAGCAACTGGAGCTGGGGAGAAAGTAGATGAATTCATAATGACTTTGTAGGTGAAACCAAACAGAAAAACAGATAGCTCATCTTAACAATGTGTCCACAAAGGTGCACTGTTGGTAGACATGTCTCTTCCATGTCCATTAAATGTCAGAACACAGGACTTGTTGATCCTCCTCAGTCAGAAAAATTAAATTTTAATGTGAAAACTTTTGTAAAGATTCACTTCAGTGACACCAAATGACCACAAGAGGCAGCAGTGGAACCACAGGTTGTGTTGACCTTTTGTAAAACATAATCACATGTCCTTTTACTGAAGGTGTACTACAGCAGCAGCAGCACTGACCCACCTGTTGTCCGAGCTGAGGGAGGACGGTCCATCGCTGAACGGGTGGTGCAGCAGCGGGCCATGCTGTGTCAGTAGGTGGGGGTCGACGGTGCGCGGCGGCTGTGGGTAACGTGGGGCAGTAAAGACAGAGCTGTAGGGTGGAGGAGGCGTTGAAGGTTGAGCTGCGACTTCCTCGTAGGAAGGCAACTTCAGAGATGCTAAGAAACCTGGGGAGGGTGTGTGGGTTAGAGCTCTGAAAAAAAATACTACTAGGTAACTTAAAGACCACTGACAAATTCAAGCACATTACTACCATCACATTGATACAACATGATTAACATTTCTTTGTGCAGGCCTTACTCAGGTCAAGCATGGAGGATGGGTAGGAGTTGGCTCCATGGTAGGCCAGCAGGCTGATCTCTCGCTGCCTCTGCTGCTGCTGGACTCTCAGTTTGGCTCGACGGTGTCTGTAGGCGCAGCAGCAGCTGAACAGGATCAAGAGGGTCCACAGGAGCCAGAACCCTGGACACAAGAGAGAAAGACTTCAAAAACATGCCAAAATAGTGTCCAAAGTAGCTGTCAAAGCTACAAAACTGCTAAGATGGCCCTGGTTAAACACAAATGTTTGGTGTGAGGATACCTGTAGCTGCTAAAGTCACACAGCTACTGTAGCTACCTACAGCAGTTGCTAGCGCTGGATAGTGCTTAAAAAAAGTACTTACACCAGAGTTCGTAGTAGTAAGTACAACATCCACTCTCTCCGCAGCAGTGTCCCGTCTCACACAGGTAACCTCCATTAGCATTGGCCCCAGGACAGTAGCGCGGTCTTCCCAGCAGGGGCAGGCTGCCACCGGAGTGGTACTCCATTGCGCCCCTGCACTTCCAGGATTTAGCCCTGCGCCAGCTCAACTCCCTGCTAACCACTAGCTGCTAACTAAACGTTAGCTGCTAAAACCGGAGATTGCTATTTTTTATCGTTGAACTACATTTTTACATGATTTGTACTTTCTGCTGAATTCGGCATCAAATTAGCTGCTTTATAAGTTAGCCGTTAGCTGTTATGTTAGTAAAGCACAGCTGAAATTATGCAGGTCCACATTGTCCAAGTGAAAGAACTCAGCAACTTTCAACAAAAGTTAACCCTGTTGAATACAGTATGAAGGCTTTCATCACAAAACTACCACTAAATAGCATTGGTGCTAACGTTACAGGCTAACAGCCTGGGGCTGCTGCAGGTGTGGTCAAGCAGTGGCTGGTGGAGCAGGACACGATGGCCTGGAAAGGAACAAAAAAAAAAAGAGGGACAATGAGTAATTGATAAACAGCACAAACAAACACACAACAGAACTGCTTAATATTCATCAGTGCATGGATTCAAACCACAAGTCAACACAAAGCTGCCTCTCTGTCCCAAATAGACAAACAAATAACAAACCTTAAAGGACAAGTTCAGTATCCTTTAGCTGTTGTTTGCTTTCAACATTAAGGGCTACATCTCATTTGTTTTTGTTAAAGGTGAGCCCTCTTGAAAACAAAATATTTTAAACTACTATTTTTCAATTATAATACCCAACAATGGTAAAAAAAAGGATACTCTTGGCTATCTTTTATCTAGACTTGAAGTCTATAAGTAATCATCTGAATAAAGGATTTGATTGGCCAGTTTATTAAACTAACAAATGTGACATAGCTGATGGAGATGTGCTGTGCTGTAGGTATGGCTGATTCTCTATATATGTACATTTCCCATTTGTTCCAGAGATCCAGCCTGTGTGTCTTTGGCTGGTTCCGATGACAGGGGGCGCACACAACACTGCTGTCAGATTTACTCACCGTCTGTCTGTACCTGAAAAACAAACAAACATGTCTCCATCACGTCCCAAAAACGGCTTGAACGAGGACCCAACACTTACAGACACACACACACACACACACACACACACACTGCTGCAGAGTTCACGTCGGTGGTCTGCACAGATTTTTTTCTGCAAGGCCACGGCATGCTGCAGTGTTACACACACACGCACATCAATACTCACAGGCCATGTGTGTGTGTGTCTGAGACGTTAGGGTTAGGACACAACTGCAAACGTATAATAATAATAATATAATACGATATAACATAATACTATATAATATAATATAATAATAAATTATAATAAAATAAACCGTACTATCATAAGGGTGTTTCTAACGCCTTCCCCCTCCAACTGCCAATAACTGTCACATTCTCCGGTTCATCATGAACAACAACAACCGTACCGCTCCCCCCGACCAGCGGTTCCATCCTCATCACTCAACGGGCCTCAGAGCGCCAGTTCTTCTTGTGCTCACCGCGTGTCTGTCGGTGTCTGTCGGTTCCCCAGGAGTGTCGTTCTCCTCCTCCAGAGCTTCTTCCCCCGTAGCTTCCAGCGGTGTCTGACGGTCTACTCTCTCCTCTTCCCCGCCTCCTCGCTCTCCCTCCTCGGTGCGACCCTCCGCCGCCAACCCCGCCGCCATCAGCGCCAAGTGGCAAATCAAGATGCCGCAAAGGGACACCACTAACTTCCGGTCGTTTTTCTAAATGGTAGAATTTCAGAATAAAAGTGATGCAAGGTTGTTTTTTTTAACACAGGTTTTGATTTCGACGTGTCCCAACATTTCTACAGTGACACGATACGACTATTATGGACTAATATTTTGATTCGTGGATGTTTAACTGAAACGGCAGAGAAACCTTAATTGAATGTCTGGAAACTTTCTCAAAAGCTTGATGCCCTGGGACTACTCAACCATGACTTACTCGACCAGGACTGGGACTTGGACGAGACTCAACTCTTACTTACGTTTGAGTTGTTTGGAATCCTGGGTTTCAAATTACACTCAATGCCCACTCTTTTTGTGAATTGAAATTTGGAGGAACCCTACTTGAACTTGACTTTAACTCTTAGTAACTTAAAGTTAAAAGGCAGGTCTGAGCTCCTCATACGTTTTTGTGGAACGGTCTGGAACCAGTTTTCTTCAGGTACTCGGAGCTGTTGTCCATGGGATTCCGCCTGTGACGGCGTCATATTGACTTTTCTTTTGTAAAGGGGATTATGTCTTGCACCGGAAACAGTTGTGTGTGTAATTTTTTATTGACAGACCCGCCATTATAGATCTGCTGCTGCTCAGACTCATGTTCATGTTTTCATCGCCTCAACATTAATGCATTCATTCATTCAAATGTAAGCGTCAACACATAAGTAACAACAAGTGGATCTTTGCGTCCTTACAAAGGAAAACACAAACAAACAAAAAACCCAAAACAAACAAACCGGTGATGATAAAGGTGAAGAGGAGGATTATTTTGATGATGATGGAGTCTAACGGCGGACGGTCTGATTGGTCAAAGCTCTCAGGCTGTGGTGCAATCAGAGCGCTCCCTGAAGGAGGCTGCAGCTGGTAGCAACAAGAGGACAGGATTTTACCCAATGATGTAACTGTCCTGTGGCTAACCTTTGGGTTTTTTAAATGCTAACCTACTAATGTTACTGTAGCATTTTAGCTTCCTATATCGTATCTATTTGTATTATTTTAAACAATAACTGGGCCAATTTGTTTGACAAAAAATGCATATTTAAGCTCATTTTTAATTTATTCAAAAGATTTCTGTAGTTGTTTAATTAACTTCCACAGTACAACACATGAAAAAGACATTGGAGAACAGACGAAAAGAAAATGAGGACGTTTTTCCTTCTTGTCACAATAACATGTAAAATAAATTCTAACCAGAAACCTCTGGCTAAATTTAACTAAAATAAAACAACTTAAAAGAAAAAAAACACTGAGAATTTAATGTTTGATTATAAAAAGTAATTTAAAAAATCCCATTGCGACCTGAGTTAGTGACACCAGCAGGAGGAAGCAAAGTCAAGCTGAGAAAAACTGACGTTAATGTGGTAATAACCACACACACCTTCAAATACACACACTCTCACAGAAACCACTCATGTCCATAAAGTGAGGAATGTGTTGATCTCACAGAAAAGTAGCAATCAGGTCTGTAACAACTACGCCCTTGAGTGTGTGTTTGAGTGCGTGTGTGTGTGTGTATACGACCAGATGTCAAACACACACTCCTCTTCCTCTCCTCCTTCCTGCTTGGGTCTGAGGTCAAGTGTTTGGGCGGAGCGTCTGCTCTCTGTCATCACGTTTACGAGGAGTCACAGTTGATGGTGTTGATCGACGCCGTCATCAGTGTGTGGCTCAATATTCATCATGTTTATGTTTTAAATAAAGAAAATGTAAAAAACAAACACACATACTGTATAAAAGAGTTATCCTGTCCCTCAGTATGTCAGCAACTCACCCAGTCCTTAGACACAAAGTAAAGTCACAGGTCGCCCCCTGGTGAACGACAACACTACAGCACACCCAATTTAAAGAATCCTTTTTTTCTCAGTTGTATCCAGTTTATGTTCCAGGCACAAACAGAATCCACAAAGGTCCATAAACAGTTTTTATAAATGTCTGTGTCTACATGTCATGTCATCGACACTCTCCCCGCCTCAGGGCAACATCGTCGACTGCGATCCTTCCTTGCCGCCTGTGCTTACGATCAGCTTTCAGCAACACCTAAACACAGAGACATTCAGTGTCGCAGAAACATGCCAACAGTAACTGGTTGGATTTCTCAGGTTACCTTTTAGGTATTCTGGATTTTTTGATACCATTCAGATATTTCTGGGTTGCAGATGGTCCAACATTTTTTACAGTTCTTTTGCTAGCTATTAGCTAATCCAGTCTTATTGTCCTGGGTTCTGCTATGGCTCTGGCTAACATCAAGACAATTTAAGACAAATTACTACTAAAGCCATTTAAATTCATATGAGGGTCTCACCTGGTCTAAAGTAGGTGTGGTCAGGGTCATCTGTGTATGTCTCCAGCCATGTCCTCCTGTCCTGCTCCAAAGGGCAGTGCTGTATCTGCCAGAGCCAATAAGAAGCGGTGGTCATTACTCAAAACAGAAAAAGTATCCGGGACTAAATCTAGCTATCTTACCTTTGGTCCCGTCCCCTTCGTTTTACAAACAGTTGCAGAACCCCTACATTATGACCTGTCAGCCAATGGGAAAAAGAGAAACACAGGACATCACGGGACCATCCTCTGGGGATCTGAATGGCCATCCGGGCGCCACGCACACTCCTCTGCCCTGCCTTCAGCTCTGGCACAGAAAGATAACCCCCACCTGGGACAGACCGTATCATCATTACATCATCGACTTATGTCAACTATGACATCACCACGGATGCTTTGTCACCTGTGTTGTCGCGAAACGTTTCCCAGTGAAGATCGCCCTCCCTGTCTGACAGCCAATCGCAGAGGCCGTGATCAAAGGTGCAGCGAAGTACACTGGTGTCTGCGCACACATGCGAAAAGCACTAGAAGTTAGCTGGGAATACAGGTTAGCATAGAAATACTTCATCGTTAGCAAAACAACAGCAACAAATATTACTGGAAGCAAACACACTGGGGTCGTCCATGGCGTCCTCTTCAGCTGTGTTCCCCAGCTCAATGTCAAAGTCCCAGACCTGGTTATGGTCTGGATGACGAGGGACTGTGACACAAACAAACACAAAGGAAACATATTTCATTACCAATGAAGAGCTAATAATGGAGCATAAAATCCAAAGGTTATACCCATAGTTCAAGAGTTTGTTATAAAATAAACTGAATTAAAGTAAAGGTTAGCTAAAATTGGTAAATGGTTAGTCTAATCTTAAAGTAGCAAGTATTTCAGCATTTGATAAGTGAAAGTTAACTGAACGGTGAAAATGTAACAAATAGACAGCTTGATAAAAGTAGCATCCAGTGTTATCCAGAGTTAAATGGTAAAAAACAAACAAAAATGATCAACAAAGAAGCCAATCCAATCCAAGTGGAAACCAGTAAAAATAAATAATTAAAATGTACACGTGCTGAGACATGTTGGCTGCAAAAAGTGGAAACCAGTAAAAATAAATCATTAAAATGTACACGTGCTGAGACATGTGACCTACAGCAGTTAAACAAAAGACAAAAAGTCAGAAAAAAGATCAACGTCAGATCAGGTTCTGTAGAGTAGAATGGTGAGTAAATGTTCTCCTCACTGTGGACGTCTCCTCTCTGTTTGTGGGTCACGTCCTTGTCGATCCTGTTGTTCAGTGTCGTCATGACAATGGTGGCAGTGGTGGTGAGCAGTGTGGTGCCTACGGCGACTGTCGAGGCAACTGTGGGGGCTATTGAGGGGGCTATTGAGGGGGCAACTGTGGGGGCTACTGTGGTAGGTGTAGTAGCAGGTGTATAATTAAAAACAGTGAAAGGCTTAGTAGAAGTAGGTGTAGTATGAGGTGTAGGAGGTGTTGTTGTAGTTGTTATAGGATGTGTAGTAGAAGGTAACGGGGGCATAGACGTTGATGTACTATGAGTTGTAGTATTTGGTATAGTTGTAGTTGGGGCAGGAGATGTAATAGATGAATGAGGTGGAGTTGTCAGGATAGAGACTAGAGTAGAAGGTTCACCACTAGGTGTTGCAGTAACTGTAGTCGGTGTAGCAGGTCGTCTACTATAAGTGGTGTTTGGTACAGTTGTACTTGGTGTGGTACGTGGTGTGGTACTTGCTGTGGTACGTGGTGTGGTACGTGGTGTGGTACGTGGTGTGGTACGTGGTGTGGTACGTGGTGTGGTACGTGGTGTGTTCAGAGATGTTTTAACAGGTGTAGTAGATATGGGACTACTACTTGTAATAGAAGTAATTGCCACAGTAGTTAGTGCAGTAGTGGAAGCAGCCACAGTACTTAGAGCCGCAGTGGTTGGTGACAGTGTTGTTGATGAAGGTGCAGTTGTAGTCTTTGGTCTAGGGGGCTCCAGAGTGACTTTAGGGACAACTGAAATAAATCAGACACAAAAATACTTTGTTCATCAGCTTGATAGCATGCTAGCACATCTGTAGCTGACTATATAAATGATCTAGTTCCACCAACTAACTAGCTTAGGATATTTAAGCTAAGCTAACTACCATTGCTGATGAACAGTACCAAATGCTAGCATGACAGAGCTAACAGATTGAGTTTTAGGTAAACTTTAGGCTTTGTTGATCTGTTGTCGTTGCTTACTAAACAGTGCTTATACACACAGCTAACCTCAGCTTTGCGGATATAAAGATGGTAAGCATTAGCATGCTAACAGAACAGTTTGTATGTGCTCAGTCATCAACATCTGAACACTTCATGACTGAAATCATATTTTTTTTTCACCTGAACACCTTCCATTTTTACAGCGACACTTCCGTGAGGATGGGTTCAGAGCACAGAAGGAACGAGTGTCTTTATCTGGACACAAGAGAAAAAAAAACAATTTTAAAAAAGATCCAATTTTAACCTTCAACCGACAGAAAACAATGAGTGACGCTCAAACAAACCGATGCAGACGTAGCCTCCATTAATGTAGGTGAGTTTAAAGCCGTAGTGACATTTACACAGGAAGCTGCCAAACGTGTTCACGCACTTCCTGTGACGAGGACAGGTGGCGCCAAGTGCACACTCATCAATATCTGAGGAGACAGGGGGAAACAGAACGTGAGTCAACAAACAAGCGCCACCCTGTGCCAGCCTTCTGACCCGACCAAAACACAACAGTTGTTGACATGCGGTCTTCACTCAAAATTCTTAGCTTTGTGTTTTTTCTTACTTGAAAAACATTGGACATTTCTTGAATATCAAAACAAATGTCTGAGTTTTTATTGGTCCATGAACTCCAGCCATACAAACAAAACCAGGTAGTTTGTAAAATTTTCAAAATAAAAGTCTCAGGGGACGTTTGTCCACATGACACTAAGCTTTTTAAAAATAAAGTTATTATTTTTGGACCTTGTCTCACCTACACAGGTGCGTTTGTCTGGTCCCAGCTGTAACCCTGGTGATGGGCAAGTGCAGCGGACCACACCTTTGGACACCTCGCAGCCGTACTGACAGTTAGCATGGTAACAGGTGCGAGCATCTGAGTGCACATAAAGAGAAGAAGAATGAAACAAAAGAAAACAAACATAGAGCAGAAAATGAAATTTTTATGCCATTTCTGAGTTAGTTGTACTTTATTTTGACTTATATAAAGTTTATTTTCTTCTACAAACTAACAATAACTGGTTCATTCAAGGTGGTATTTTAGCTACACACTTTCAGTTAACCTTCAGTTTTCTTTTGAATGTACTTTTAATACAGATTCCTTATCATACGTGTTCACCCAATACCCGTCTTCTTCACAACTGGTAGTATATTATAATATTATAATAATGTTACTCTGTTTTTCTTCTGAGCTAACGTTTAGCTTTCTTTTTGCATTACACCAAGCCATTATTTGTTGCTAATTCTAGCTTGTTCGTTATATATATGTATGTATGTATGTATGTATATATATACAGTATATATATATATATATATATATATATACTGTATATATATATATACAGTATATATATATATATATATATATATACTGTATATATATATAAAACAAGTATATATTGTGTGTGTGTGTGAGTGTGTGTGTGTGTGTGTGTGTTTAGGAGACTCACTCCTACAGCTGCCGTCAGACTGCAGTGTGTATCCGTCCTGGCAGTAACACTTGTAGCTGCCTGGTGTGTTCATGCAGCGGTGTTTACAGGGCCGAGGCTTGAGACCACACTCGTTCAGATCTAACACACACACACACGCACACGCACACACACGTGTGTGTGTGTGTGTGTGAACACAAAGGTCAGGCGATCACATTTCCCTGTGTTCACTCACTTATGTCAACCTGTGGGATTAACCTCTGACTCTCTCTCTGATATTCACCAGTTTAAGTCTGTGTGTGTGTGTGTGTGTGTGTGTACATGGTAACACTTAAAGTCAGATGTTGTTTTTATTCAGGATCTGACTCACATCATGGTCTTTAATCAGTCCGATGAGAAGCATGTGTGAAGGTGGGCACGGTTGTTCTGCCTCTCTGTGTTAATGGGTCTAAATCTGGAAACGGTGGTTTAGGTCATATGTTCGTTACCTTGGTTACAGGCTTTTCCGCTGTATCCCGGGTGACATTTGCATCTGTCAGGTCCAACGCACACTCCATGTTTACAGCCCTGCTGACAGTGAGCTGCACGCAAACACATCCATCATTTACCGACCTCTGCACTTTCTGATCAAATCAGTCACAAAATATTGAATTCAATGTTAGTTACAGATTAGTTACCTACAGCTTAGTTACCTACAGTTTAGTTACCTACAGCTTAGTTACCGACAGTTTAGTTACCTACGGTTTAGTTACCTACAGTTTAGTTACCTACGGTTTAGTTACCTACAGCTTAGTTACCTACAGTTTAGTTACCTATGGTTTAGTTACCTACAGTTTAGTTACCTACAGCTTAGTTAATTGGTTAGCCTGTTAGTATCAGGAGGTGAAACTAACAGTTAGAGAAACAGGTCTGCAGTGTAAAAGTACTAACAGCCAACTACATTGGTGGCCGGCCTGTGTGCTGTGACTACTTTAGTCATGAAGATTCCAAAAGTAAATAGGTAATATGTAACATATGGACTGTTAACAGCTAGCAGCTGATTTTCAAATGTTGCTAACAGGGTTATGCTAACAAAAACTGCTATAACTTCAGATGTTATGGTTTACGTTAATTCAGTTTATATGTGTAAATATATGTGTTTGAAGTTCACATGATCAACTTGTTTATGTGTTTGTTTGTTTTCTTACGTTGACATCGTCCCTGCTCTGATTGTCTCCACCCCCAGCAACACTCCACACTGTTGCCATAGTAACAAAGACCGTCGAACGTGGGCATACGGTCGTCCCAACTGTAAATATACCAGATAAAATAAATTAAAAGGTGGAATCAAAATTTGCATCAAATGTTAATGGAAATAAAAAAAAATATGGAGAGACCAAGGTGTGTGACAACAGGCAGAAAATGTAACTTATAGCTCCTTCTGTGATGTCTGTGGCTAATTTTGGCTAAAAATGTTTATAAAAAAGTCTGTTGTAAACTGGCGTTTGTCTAACTTTTCAACAAACTTGGCTGTCTAAATATATTTTTGGGTGCTTTTCCACAAAAATGTCTTTGTTCAATTTTGTCTTTTAGTAACAGTTATGATACAGTGATAAGTGTTGGATATTTGGCGTTAAGGCTTGGATCAAAGTTAGCTACAGATTTCAAGGAAAATCGTTGATGTGATGACACCAGGGGGAGGTTTGTCCACGTCTGCAGAGACAGACAAAGTGACGGCCGCTGCGAGTCTGGGCGAGCAGAAGTGTGTCTGCACGTTCCTCTCATCTCCTGTTTCCCCAGAGCGGCAGGTCTGAACAGGAGCCACAGGATACTGTTTTTTAGCAACTCCTCCACATACTTTCTCTGTCTTCGTCTGTCTCTGCACTCACTTTGTCAAACATCCGTCTCCGTCTCTGCTCGCCTGCCTTTAATAAAGTCAAACTTTTACCATAAAGGATGTTTTCTTTATTGTCTGGTGTCTCCTATTTTAGAAAACAAAGTGCATGCACCAAAGTCCATAGAGAAATGAGTGATTTTAGCTCAGACCACCACACTGACACCCCACTCTGTACCCTGCTGGCCCGCACTCACATTAACCCCAAAACGCAAGCAAGCAGAAGTCAAAAATCGCCTCTGAGACATATGTCAGTGAATGTTGTTTATAAGCAGTTAAAGCAGCGCCATCAAGAGCAAATCTGACAACACGGCTGCAACAGCTGCTCTGTTAGCGCTCTTCAAAACACTCAGTCCTCATCAGTGTCTTCATTTGTTGACAGCGTGTGCATACAAAGACAGCAGGAAACACTTGTGTGCATGCGTGGCCAAGTGTTGCACAGTTGCACTCACACTAGCCATAGAACCTGGACTTTGGGGGAAACGTACTTGGATGCAGTACAATGGTAGTACTAGGGAACCCTCTCAGGTAAAGCAGTGAAGCAGCTGCAGATGTTCTGAGCAAAGCTTCTTGTTAGGCAATAATAAATCATTTTTCAGCAAAGTTATCTCTGAGGATCAGCCTCTGCATCAGAGGAGGTCACAGGGGTTAAAGGTCAACCTTTCCTATGAATTTAAAGTAAAATAGGGAGTCAAACTTCCAGGTGAATCAGTGACTACAGATGGTAACAGAAAAATCAGAAGAGTAACTGATTAGATGCAAAACCAACAAGAATGTTTTAATCATCTCAAGAGGTCTGTGTTTTCAAGCAAACATGTCAATTCAATCAAAAGTCACCAAAAACATCAAAATGTTTTCTGAAGTCCAAAACACGTAACTAAAATGTACAATTCAACCAGAACGCTAAATGTAGGTCAACTTTAGCTTTACATTGGAAAAACAACCAACAAGTCGCACCAAGAGCCTTTAATACCAAAACGTTGGTCTTGAAATGATTAAGTTAGACTCACAGTAGCTTAAACTGTGTTCACGGTAAAACAAATGTACAAAAATAGCTAAATCTTGACAGAAAGTCTCAATATCAAATCACAAGGAACTTCTTAATTTTGCTTGAAAAACAACACGTGAACCCAAAATTAGAAATTTGTTACAAATTATTAAGCACGAGGTCGGTCCAAATAGTTAAGATTAGCTGAAAAAACAACAACAACAACAACAGAATATGGACACAGAACAAAAATAGAAAATAGTTAGATGTGCCAAGAGAAAAGTTACACCGAAATGAAGCTCCAAAAAGCTACATTTTCCCCAGGATTGACTTCATGTTGGTTCAGAAAGAATTAATCTCAGAAAAGCTTCAATTAGTACGAAAACAACAAACTGTTGATAAATACATGAACTGCGAAGTTTTCCAAAAAGCTCAATGTGATTTAAGATAGAGGTAGAGCATTTTAGCTAAAGGTTAGTCCAAAAAGCTAAGAATAAAATAAGGAAGAAAAAAAGAGTCTAAATGTTTATCATGGTTTAAAGTTCTAACGAACAAAGCTCTGACCTGTCAGGGTCCAGAACCTGAGCCTGGCTCCACAAACAGAAGCTGAACGGAAGGAGAACCAGAACCAGAGTGAACCGGACCAGCAGCAGTAACAGCATCTTTGTGATCCTTCGAATAGACGGTCAGTTCACACCGACCGGCACCGGTACTATCATGGAACACACACACACTCACACACACACGCTGAAGGAGAGTGAGAGAGTGAGTGAGAGAGAGAGAGAGGCACGCGCTCCTGATTAGAGATAAATCCCGGTTGTTGGAAACATGTGACGTCACAGGACAGGGTCCGCGTCATGACGTGAGAAAATGAAGAAATTAATTTAACAAGAAAAAGTTGCGAGAGAGAGAGATGTTAAAATGAAGAGAAGAGGAGGAGTCAGGAGGGGGCGCATTGGAGAGGAGGTAAGAGGGGTTAGAAGAGTGGGTGAGAGAGACCCAGACCTGACACCGCCGTGTTTGTTGTGACCTGTTTTAGTGTTGACTGTAAACAGAAACTAATTTGTCACAAAAATCAATGCTCTATCACAGACCAAAGTCCATAGTGAAAATCAGTGATTTTAGCTCACAGACCAAAGTCCATAGAGAAAATCAGTGATTTTAGCTCACAGACCAAAGTCCATAGAGAAAATCAGTGATTTTAGCTCACAGACCAAAGTCCACAGAGAAAATCAGTGATTTTAGCTCACAGACCAAAGTCCACAGAGAAAATCAGTGATTTTAGCTCACAGACCAAAGTCCATAGAGAAAATCAGTGATTTTAGCTCACAGACCAAAGTCCATAGAGAAAATCAGTGATTTTAGCTCACAGACCAAAGTCCATAGAGAAAATCAGTGATTTTAGCTCACAGACCAAAGTCCATAGAGAAAATCAGTGATTTTAGCTCACAGACCAAAGTCCATAGAGAAAATCAGTGATTTTAGCTCACAGACCAAAGTCCATGGAGAAAATCAGAGATTTTAGCTCACAGACCAAAATCCACAGAGAAAATCAGTGAAATGGTCCGAACCACTGCACAAGAGGAACAAGAACTATTGCAGTATCGACTATGACCACCAGAGGGCAGTGACAGTGTGATAATGTTATCTTTCTCCGGCTCTCTGCTGATCACTCAGTCCTCACTCAGGAGCTTTGACTCAGGTCCATCAGTGTCCCTCAGCAGCATGATGAAGACAGACCAGAGTTTTTCTCTTCTGTTCTGGGTGAGACATTTGACTTTGTCATGGACATTTGTGGACACGATCTGTCAGGAATTTCTAGGAAAGGTTTATTGTCAAGCTGGATTAAAAAGCTAAAAACCTCAAACTGATGGTTTTGATTTGTTTGTTTGTTTTCCCACAGATGATATTTTTCGTCACTCCTCCGTCATGTTGCTGGCACGACTTGGACAACAGTGAGTACGACTGCTGGCCTCTGGACCGACCCAATGACCAGAACATGATCGACTGTGGAGGTCAGTGCAGTATTTTATACTAACTGTAATATTTGTGTAACTTTGATCAGAGATAAAATTAGATTTGATATTTGAAGTGTGCTCTTTTACAATCACTAACTAAATATATGGTTCCTTTGAGTGGTCTTTTCTGGAATAATAATAGACAAATACAAATTAACTTAACACTCTTGAAGTGTTGGTTCATTAGCTAAAACTAGTTGAACTGGAACTTTACTGCATTGCCCAAAAGTCAAAGACAAATAGAGAAATTCCTGGATATTAAAGGTGCATTCACGAGAGGTTTTGGTCAGACCAGGTTCCAAGGGTCAAAATCATGACTGAATGTACGTGATCTTCCAGCACCAGTGAAGTCTCTTTGAGGCCTTCTCCTGTAGGTTAGTATCTAAAGGGTGGCCAAGTACGCAGCAAAGTAAATAAAGTGAGCACTTACTATTTGGGAGCTCAAGCTAATCATCATCTTTAGCCCAGTTCTCACAAGGTGGTGATCAAATGTCGGTCCCTCAGGTCTGGAGATGGCCTGGGTGGTTCGTCCTCCAGAGGAGGTGAAGAGTGGGGAAATGTTCAGCGTCACGTACTCCGTCACGGCTCAGGACTCTTTCTACGAGTGGGCTGTGGAAAAAAACATCTTCACACACAGGTATCACACACTCGGTTTCATGGACCAGACTCCAGAACCAGGTTCTGATCCTGGCCTGCTCTGTTTACTTGTGCAGTTCCATAGTTGATGCTGAAGCAGCTCGGAGGTTCTGTGAACATCACGACTGTCCAATCAGCTGGAAGGATGCAGACGGCGAGAACTGCTGCATTCACCATGCTAACATCCACTCCTGTCCACTGGGATACATGGTACACACCTGCTCCTTGTTGTTTTTATCAGGTTAGCCTCAGACTTTATGATAACAATAATTTAACCCTAAAGACGACAGAAACCATCTGTGGTCCCTGGATTCCTGACGATGGAAAAATCTTCACACACACCATATCTACTGCTGGCAAGATGACCCAGACCAACTGGACCGCCAAGGTAGACCCACTTTCAAAAAATAATCTGATGCTTGAAAAATCAAAACAAAACACTTTTAAATTATTACAATCGATCCTAAATATATTCCACAGTTTTCCCAACATTAACAAGGAATTCTTTCGAACCTAGTTGGGATCTCCGCTCCACTTCCTGACCTGAGTGTTGGACTGCATTCAGTTCTTGTGGACAAAGGTTTCCGAACATAACATGCTCTGTTTCGCAGGTTGTTTTGATTCATGCTGGTTTGACCTCCCTTATCGCTCACATACGAGTGGGTCGAATGCAGGTGGCTCTGGAGGCCAAGAGCACAGTCCTGCCTGCTGTCAGTGAGTCGCTCTCCACATCACGGGATTGACATTTACATTTAGCCTCAAGTGGAAACCTGTTACAAGACATTTCCAACTGCTTTGTTTTTTCTCATCGAAGTTTGTGGCGATGGCGTCTGTGACGAGACCGAGCTTTGTTCCACCTGCCCCGCTGACTGTGGCGAATGCCCCATGACCCTGTCCACCAAGCTATCCATCGCTCTGCCGCTCACTTTGCTTTGTTTTTGCTTCATACTGACTGCTGTGGTGAGAAACAACACAACGGGAAACTGGCAATGCAACAAAACTCCCGGTCATAGATCTGTAAATATGAACGGACGGCTCTGTTCTGCCCCTGCAGTGGCTGCGGTACCAGAAGCAGAAGCTGTTGTGGGACGAGAGTTGGATCATTGACTTTGGGACAATAAAACAAGGTAAAGATCCAACTAAGGTTACCTAAGCTACAAAACAGCGGAAATAAAGAATATTTTCTTTAGTTCTGTCCCTTCAACAGCGATGTACCGCAGACCAATGATTGGACACCAGTTGTCCTCCCTGACACAAACCTACATCTACAAATACCAGTGGACCAGATAATCCATATCCTGCGTCTCCATCTCCAGAACAAGTGTCTCTTGACGTTTGGATATTTCTCTGTGCTAACATTAACGCCTTTTTCTTTTTGCCACAGACCATGTGGCTCGTTTGACCATGGGCAGCATCATGAGTGTGGTCGTGGCCAACAGTGACAGTAACACCAGCTGTATAACGGCCCTCAGTTCCTACACTGGACAACCTGTAGCCCGGAAAACACTCTTTACCTGCACTGGAATTTAGTACGTGACCCGGTCATCTGTCTGTCCGTCTGTCAACAACAACTGGAAAGGAAAGTGACGGTTTTCTCCTCTTCTGCAGTGATGGCAGAACAGTCGCTATAAAGAAGATCCAAACAAAGGCCTTCTCCTTGTCCAGGACTATTAGAGAAGAAGTCAAACAAGTCAGGTAACGTCAGGGACTCCCATCTGATCTTAAAGGATCTCATCATCTGCCTGATAAGAAAAACTCTGTTTTCTTTTCCTTCAGGGAACTGGATCACCCCAACCTGTGTAAGTTCATCGGTGGCTGTGTCGAGGTTCCAAACGTGGCCATTGTGACCGAGTACTGTCCAAAGGGAAGTCTTAACGACGTCCTCCTTAACGAGGACATCCCACTCAACTGGGGTTTTAGGTAAAACTAAAAAAAAAATAAAAATCTAAGAACAATTTTGTATTTCACATATTTAAAGTTTCTTTGTTGGTTTTCAGGTTTTCCTTCGCCACCGACATCGCCAGAGGGATGTCGTATCTCCACCAGCACAGGGTCTGCCACGGTCAACTCAAGTCCATGAACTGTGTCGTTGATGACCGCTGGGTTTGTAAAATAACAGGTAACACAACAGAACTGTGGGCTAGAAGCAGGCTTGATCGACGACGCTGGGTTTCATATCTTCAAGTATCGTGTTGTTTGTTGATACATGAAGATATTGGTTTTTTGCCCCCTAGAGGTGACTCTGACAGTTACAAAAATTCCACATTGAAAATGAAAAATTATGCAAATGAAAGAAGAGATTCATTTACTCTTTTGTTCTTGCTCAAATCTTTTGGTGGTCTCATTAGATTACGGACTGAGGACATACCGTCAGGACAACAGGGCAGAACCTCTCTCCACCTATCACCAGAAACTCATGGAAATCTACCTGCCACCTGAGTTTCAGGACTCAAACGTGGAGCCCACACTGGCTGGAGACGTGTTCAGGTGAAAAACACAAAAATGAACCAAATTTAAAAAAAACATATGGTTTGAGATCTTGAGGTAAATGAAAATTTGCAAATGTAGCCAGCAGATTACCACAGTGTAGTAGAGATTTTATTCTAAAACCTGTATAGAATATACAGGGAAAAAGTACAAAATAACTAAGTTGTTGCAGAAATTAAAAGATTATTGCTAAAACCAGCTGAATGATAACTGAACTTTGATAACTGAGTTACAGGTGGCTAACAGCTAAATAGCTATATTGCAGAAGTAGCCAAATGTTAGCAGAACTGGCTTCAAATTGATAAATGATAGATTAAATAAAAACAGTGAATTCATCAAAATAGATGAAATAAATATAAATAGAGGAAAGGGTACAAGTCAGGAATACTGTGTGAATGGACATGACATTCACTACCTGGTTAACTCTTTTCTTTTCCGTGTGTATCTATAAAGTTATTCCATTATTTTGTTGGAGATCGCAACTCGGAGTGATCCTGTTCCTGTAAGTTTCTATTTTTTATTTTTTTTACCCTAAAAGATAATTTAATAGAAACTAAAGAATAGTTTTTTTCAAGGCAGAGGACTCAAACCTGGAATGTGCCTGGTGTCCTCCTCTACCTGAACTAATCTCCAGTAAGGCTGACAACACCTGTCCCTGTCCTGCAGACTACGTGGAGGTCTGTGATTTCTTTTAACTCCAGGCAGCTGTTTCAGACGTATTTGTCCTACACAACGTTAAAAATGATTAGCATCTCTTAAATGCTATTATACAATGAAGATTTTTTCTCTCTAATGGATGCGTATCCTCAGCTAATCCGACGATGCCGCTCCCAAAACCCTGCCCACCGACCAACGTTTGAACAAATCAAGAAGTTTGTCCACAGAATCAACCCGGTCAAAGTCAGCCCCGTGGACATGATGATGAACCTGGTACTGAGCTGCATCACACACACCATAAGGATATGGTTCAGGCGGTTAGTGGTCAAATGCAGGAACATATTTGTGTTTCAGATGGAGAAGTACAGCAAACACCTGGAGGTGTTGGTGGCAGAGAGAACCCAAGATCTGATGCACGAGAAACAGAAAACTGACCGTCTGCTCTACAGTAAGATGAGTTCAGGTCAAACCATGTTGGCTGTAATGGTGTTCACATCCTAGAACAACAGCATGTCATCAATTTGTTTGTGGAAAACAAGTGAGCAATTTGCCATATGAGCATGGATCTGTTCAAGAGTCATGTATATGCAGATGATATAGTCATTTATTTGTCAAAACGATTCTTAATAAGTGGCCTGTGACTAGAGAGTGAGTTCAACACTTTTGTTTTTAGCTGGAGGTTCCAGGTCAGCCATTGATGGTTTTCACCATTTCACACCAATCCTTACATTTTCCTCTCTGTGTCTTTGTCCCAGGTATGCTTCCCAAACAGGTTGCTGATGATCTCCGTCAAGGAAAACCGCTGCAGGCCCAGAGTTACGTTAGCGCCACAGTCTACTTCAGGTATTAGACAAAATGGTTTTGTTGTCCCCCAGTTCAGAACATTTTTCATGTTCGTTTTTGGTCTTTGCAGTGATATTGTAGGTTTCACCGTGCTCTCCAGCAGCAGCACTCCGTACCAGGTGGTGGACTTCCTCAATAAACTCTACACCACATTTGATGACATCATTGACAACCATGACATCTACAAGGTGGAGACCATCGGAGATGCCTGTGAGTTTGAGAGCCTGTGGTCTTCATTGGGCTGAAGCCAATCAAAAATCTGTAAAAACATTAGGCCACGACGTCCCCATACACGCAGATAAGTACTTTTATTTTTATCCTTGCTCCAGTCCAAGCAGGTTTGATCATCTGTCTGGTGATCATTTAGGATGGTGTTTGATATTTGACCATTAAAGAGAAGATCAGTGTTTTGATCTCTGCTGGTCTCTCTCTCTCTGGGGTCTCCGTCTTCCTTCCACAGTCCATGAACATGTAGATTAGGGGTAATGTTAGTGTGTACTCTAAACTGACAGGTTTGTCTCTATATGTGACCCTGTGATGGACTGGAGAACTGTCCAGGGTCTAACACTGCAGTTGCCCAGAGGAAAAATGAATGAAGTGATGAATGAAAGCCATGAACACAAAGGAGTTATGTATTTGTGCAGACATGGTGGTGTCTGGTGTTCCCCGTGAGAATGGGATCCTTCACGCTTCAGAGATCGCCAGTATGGCCCTGGACCTGGTGGGCGTCTGCCACACCTTCAGGATCCCTCATAAGCCCAACATGCAGCTGCAGATACGAGCAGGGATCCACTCTGGTACAAGTCACTGAAAATAGAGGTGTTCAAGCGATAACCTAATCTAAGTGTTCTGTTAACTGTCCGGTGCTCTTCAGGTCCACTGGTTGCCGGGGTTGTTGGAACAAAGATGCCTCGGTACTGTCTGTTTGGAGATACGGTCAACACAGCGTCCAGAATGGAGTCCACCAGCCTGGGTAATGGTTGTATGTCGCTGTCACCTCACTGCTAACGTTTGGTTTATTTACTGTGACTTTGGGGTGTGAGGTAAACAGGGACAGTACTCAGGCTCAAGTTATGTCCAAACCTTAAGATCCAGAACCTCACCTTTGTGATGAAATGTCCGTCTGGATCTTCACACAGCTTTGAAGATCCAGTGCAGCTCCAGTACATTCTTCTTGCTTGAGGAGATTGGTGGCTACGTTCTGGAGTGTAGAGGAAACCTGCAGGTCAAGGTGAAGACATATGCACTGAAAAAAAAAACATGGTTCGGTTCCCTAAGAAGTGCCCTGTAAAACTGTGTCTTCACCACCAGGGGAAAGGAGACATGATTACATACTGGCTGTTGGGGAAGACGTCGACATCTCAGGCCTCCAAGGATGCCAAGAGCTCCAAGCACGTCACCATGGAAACGAAAGAGATGGAGAAGGAGCGTTATTCGTACTCATCGGTGCCAGGTTTCCTGAGCAACGACCTCCACCTGGATCAGTCCGGATCTCTTTAGTATGCCGTCCCAGAGCTCCCTTCATCACGCCACAAGAGCTGCTGTTCCAACACTGCCTCCTGTGGTCACTTTGTGTCACTATGATATATAGTGGTCTCTCGTCTATCGCATGGGACACGTTCCAAGACTGCCCACGACAGCCGATGAAACGCAGAGCATAGTTATTATATTATAAGTGACATAAATTATATTATTTATGTATATATTAACCCTTTACAAACACTTTGAGGCATCGTAGGGTGTGAAATATGGCAAAAAAGTAAAAAAAATTACATTTTGTTCTTCTTAGGCTAGAAAATGCAATGAAAAATAATTCATGTATTAGAAATTTAAAAATTTTATATACCACAAAAACCTGCGATAAACCGAAAAATCTACAATACAAGAATACAGTTAAAATATTTAAAAGCGACAGCTGGACTGCTATACAGTGAGGGACAACCGTATCTGACACACACTAGAGAAAAAATACTTACGTTCACAGAGGCAGCAGTGGCTCAACCACTGCTACATACTGTGATGTGACACCACAGGGTTCATGCATGTACGCTGTTGTGTTTATAATTAATTTAGTCTGTTCTACAACCCTGTCCTTTATCATTGGTCCAAATTTACTTTCAGCGTTCTGTGTTTGTCTTTGTGTGTGAATAAAGTTTTTGTTTTGGTGATGAGAGGGAACACCCTGATGCTAACATGGTTTTTAATTACATACGAGTGTGTGTGTTAATAGAATGAGTAGTCAATGTAAAAGACTCTCATCTCTCGCTTTCATTAGTGCTCGGGCTCGCTCGCCCCTGCTCTCATCAGACAGAATTTACATTTCTAAGAGAAAACACAATCGCACACACACGCACTTCAAACACAGCCTTACAAAACAGACATGTGTGTCAGTCTTACTTACTGAATACATTAGACACACAGATTGTGATGATGAGCAGATGTTCCAGTAAACACCCTGCTCATACTCTGTTGATTGATGATGTTTTGGTCATTCAATCATTAAGTTTATCAATTAAATAAATGGTTACATTTCAGTTAAATAATTTAAAACAAAGCAAAATTAAATACACTTTTATTAGTTCTACAAAAAACAGCAATGTTGACCAAGATACAAAATAAATTTGAGTTCACACGCGATAAAAAATACAAAAAGGCAGAAATAAAACTCTGCCAAACTAAAGTCACACAGTGAGGTGTGGTGTTTTCTAAAGCTCCGACACAAAGCCTTAAATCCTCTTTTTAAGGGGAAGGCAACATGAGACGTCATACAGTGAGCAGATCCCTCTGCTGGTCAGTGTCAGAACAACATCAGCGTGTCTGCAGCTTCTGTCGGTGGTCCTGATGTCCTTTCATTCTTGTTTACTGTTTCTGTGGAGACTCCAGATCCTGGAGTTCAGCAAAACTGGGTCTGTACGTGTGTTTGCAGGTCATACCGCGTACCGGTAAACCTAAAACACCTACCTGGACTGTAGGTCCAGATCAAATTCAGTCCTGTCTCAAGACTCCAGTCCTCTTCTCCATCAGCCAATGGGCTGCAATCCTGCTTGCATATATCACATAAGACCAGGACAAGACCACAATGGCCAGGAGGACCTGAGACGTGACAGAGAAATACACGGATCAGAGGAAAACTTTGTAGTCCTGCATCCTGTCTGTTCACCCAGTAGTTAAAATAAAGAGCATGAAAACTCTATCCTTTTTTGCGTGGTGACATTCAGTTACTCAACCTTATGTTTGTTTATAGGTTGTTTTTATTTAAATCCTATTGATCCTTTACCGATTTGTCTAAGTGTTAGCAACTGAATGCTTCATATTTGGCTAACGTTTAGCCGTTGTATGTATATTTTAAGCAGTTGTTAGTGAT